TCTATCACTTGAGCCACAGCGCCACTTCCGACTTTTTTCTTTTTGCTTATGTGGTGCTGAGGAATCGAACCCAGGGCCTCAGGCATGCAAGGCAAGCACTCTACCACTGAGCCATCTTCCCAGCCCCTCCCCATATTCTTACAACCTCTGCACTTCCCTAATTTAAAGCCATGTTGAGGGACTTCATTCTCAATTCCTGGGTCAAGATGGAACCACAGGTTGGATAGAGCACTGGAAACTTTTACGAACAATGCTGATACCATTTAGAAGTATATGTGCTATCTAGTTTTACTTTCGAGAAAAACTGTCCCTTGCCTTGAAAAACAAACAAAAAGAAACTACAAGGGAATGTCAAGCACTGGGCTAAAGATCCTGTCACCAAATGTTCAGTTTCGAAGGTTTTTTTGGTGGCCTACTTATATAATTTTTTTTTCCAGGTTACTTTGCCTGTTTGAATACTTTTTTTGTTTTTTGTTTTGTTTTGTTTTGCTTTTGTTGGTCGTGGGGCTTGCACTCTGGGCTTGGGCACTTTCCCTCAGCTCTTCAGCTCAAGGTGAGCACTCTACCACTTAAGCCACAGCACCACTTAGAATACTTTTTGATTTAGCTCAGTGATCTCAGAACATGAAAGGTCAGTCAGGTACTACAGGTACCTGAAACAGTTGTGAGACATGGACAAACTATAATCTCATTTCCCTCTTTCCTCATCTAAATAGTGTGAACAATTACTTCATATACACTTACAAGGACTCTTATTTGGCACATGAATAGTAACTCAGACAGCTTTTAATTTTTACCGTAGGATTGTATCTTCTTCTAGAAATCATTGATTCTGGGTGGTTTCCTTTTCCTTTTTCTTTTTTTTTTTTAATGTTGTGCTTTCTCTTCTTGTTCCTTAGCTTCTTTCCTTGAATCTTCTCTACGCCTTGGGCTTTTTGTTTCTACCTTGCTTCTCTGCAAGCTATGTGAGATGCTTGGGTAGCTGTTGTCAGTTCTGGTTCTGGTTGGGTTATGTCAAGAGAGGTGTTCTGTGCTTAGCTGAAAGTAGAGAAGCCCTGTGGAAAACTTAAACCAGCCCTTCCCCATCATGGTGGTGTGGTCACAAACTGTGTCAGACTTCACGAGGCAGGACCTGGTCACGGAAGCTCCTGCCCCCACGTAGTCGTGCCCATCACTGCCCCTTGCTTGTAGTGTGAGCTCTTTCCTCATATGGGTCCCACTTGCTGAAAATGTTAGGGAACACTCTTTTTGCTGTGTCCTCCAGGTCGGATCCGCACAAGACGGCAAAGTTCCGGGAGTGCCACCAATGTCGCCTCTACACCCTCTGACAACCGGGGCCGCAGCCGTGCTAAAGTGGTTTCACAGTCTCAGCGTAAGAAGTTCTATTTTATGCCTTTGGTTACCTTTGTTTTGTTCAACAGCCCATCTTGCACCGGAACACAGGTGTCAGTATTTGCACTGACTTCATAGAGGAAAATACATTATTGGGGCTCTAAAATACCGTGAGTAACTGCACTGTTGGGTAAGCTTACAAGATGAAACATTCCAGGCCTAGTTTGTTCTCTTTCCAGGTGGTTTAAATTTGTGTAGTTGATAATTGTTACTTTCCCTGTCTTGAAGTCACCTAAACTGAAACTTATTTATTTGTGCTATGACCCATTTTTATGTGGATCAGGAGCCTTCCATTTTAGAGCAGAACCTGTGGAGGAATTAGTACTGCCAAGCTTTTCCGATGGCAAATAAGTAAATCCACGTAAAAGCTTCTCCCCTTAGCCCTGTGTGCTAACACTCGCAGCCTCACTTGTCTTATTCCAATATGGGCTCATGCTTTGCCTAGTGGCCCTGGCTCTACTCCTTGCTTGCTTTTCTGTATTATGTGACCTCTGTGTGCCTGCTAGCCTCAGCCAGGGAAGCAAGGGAGCTAGAATGAACTTATTTAATCAACCTTAGGTGATAAACTTAGAGGCTCACTTTTCTGCCCCACTCAGCTGGGAATGGCCAGCTTTCCCTCTGTGCAGGTAGAGGGAGCTGGGTATGATGACACTCCTAGACAAGGTGATCATAGCAAGGAAGAGTCTTTCCACCTCACCTTTAGCTTACACAAGTCTCTCTGATATGGCTCCATAAGCTGTGTGGCTTATGTAGATCCCAAAGTCTGTGGCCAGACTTTGAGATCTTAGTATTGAAAATTCCCTTGGTGGCTCTTGAACTGCGCCTCTCTTAATGTCTTCATATTAGATAAGCTTTGATCTTTATGAAAAGGTGATGGAAAGTCAGTTATATTGCTGCCTCTGGTTTATCTCCAGTAACTTAAGTTACATAGGCTGTATATTGTGCAGTATGATACACTCTGGCTGTGATACTACCCTACTGTAGTGTGATGTTGGGTGAATCATAACCATTACGAGCCTGGCTCTGGTTTTTGTGTCAAACCCTAGTGGTTCCTGGTTATGCCCTCAAACAGGGATCAAATCTTACTACAAGGAATTCTTGACCAAAGTGTTTAACATCATAGGTCAGTCAATAAAATAATTGATTTTTTTTAAACCTGCCAAGTCTTTAACTGCTGTGTTTTGCCACTCGCTGGAGAGTGGGGCTGAGCAGTATTTGATAATTCGTTTTTATCTGCTGTGGCCTATGTAGTGTTCCTTACCTGAGATGTGTCCGTGCTCTGTCTCTTCCTGTTTTAGGAATCTGTGTAGCTTCTAGGTTTGAGTGTTTGCTCTCTCTCCCTCTCTCCTCTCTTTTTTCTCTTCTCTCTGTCCAGGATTTAGGGATCCATATATTTCTTATGCTTAGGAGGAGGCAAAGCATAGAGTTTTTTTCTTTAGTGGGACTGAGGGAATGGCTCAGCTTTAATTCTTCATATGTAAACATGCTGAACCTGGCTACTTTTAAAACTCCTCAGGTTTCACCCACAGGAAGGGAGACTACCACAAGGCAGCATACAGCCAACCTTGTACCTCAAGCTTATGCCAGACACACAAGATACTTGTAACAATTACTTTAATGTGAGATAAATATGAGCATACTTAATACATAGGTATACTGGTATTCACAATCTTAGTTTAATACTAAGTAGATTTTATTAATGCTAGATTAGGGCCCTAGTAATTGACATATTTTTAACATAAGGAAAGTCACAGATCATTCAGGCAAAATAGTTAATAATTCTTTTCCAGCCATTGATAGGTACTGAGCACTTGTTAGGTAAACATTTTTGAGAACAGAGATAATACCACAGATGAGTGAGTTTTACCTGTTTCCCTCAGTGTGCTCCAAGCTCAAGGGATGTACTCTTAGGAGTACAGGGTGCTTATTTTATGATAGATTTGAAATGGATACAAAAACACTATGATTAATATAAGTATAAGCACATATAGAAACTAGGAAGAACAAATCCTAGGAGAAATAGCTATTTTGCTAATGTGCTTTGAATAAGACATTTGTGTTGTGTTGCATGCTGACCTTGTGTATTGTGTTATTGTCTTTTAATCCACTTTTTGCCTGTCCTTTGGTCTGCTCTCATAATCAAGGATCCAGATCTGCTAATCCTGCTGGTGGTAAGCCATTTCTCTACTTGCTTTTTTTTTTTATGCATTCTTCCTTGCCCCATGTTCTTTGTACAGTATTAATTTTTCTTTGTTAGAAGCTTAATTAATCTTGTGAATTTTTTCTGTACAAGTACTAGAGTTTGAAATGGATTTCTTTTGGCCATCTATCCACATTAGCAGTTTATATACTTCATAGTAAAGTGTATTGCTGAGGTTTACAATGACTTTCACTGCAAATTGTAGTAAAATCATTGCAAAATGTTAATTTTTATGAGAAGTCACCCAAATGATTCCTTTCAACAATGTCAGTATTCATATATAACCTTTTAGAAACATGTATTATAAAGTAATACATATTTAAGCATTATATAATGCATGTATATGCATGTATATATGTATATATGTATACATACACACATATACATATACATACATACATGTACATACACACATCATGTATTACTTCTAGGTAAATATTGTTTCGAAGGTTTTTTTTTCTCCCTCTGGCTCTTTCTACTCCAGTACACAATAAAGTGTACTTTACATTTTAGAATTTTATTAGCTTCTCTACTGATGATTTAGATAAATAAACTGCCATTTTGGCTAAAAGTAGTATCATGCTTAAATTTTTGTTCTTTTCTTTTGAGAATTTTGTCCCATGAAGGTATTTCTAAAGATATCTCAACACTTAGCTATTACTTAGCTACTAATAAAGTATTAGTATAAGTATTGTTACTTAGTTTTGTTGCATACTTTTCAGAAAACGGCCTTACGTGATTTCTACTTTTATATATTTCTTTGAGATTTGTTTTGAGGCATAGTACAGGTGTTTGTTTTTTTTTTAATAATATTCGTTTGTGGAAGGATGAATGTTCTCTTGGGATGCACACATGTATATGGAGGAGCTGTATGTTTGTGTGTGTGTGTGTGTGCAAGTGTGCAGTTATACATTGCTTAATGAAGAGTGTACATTCTGCATTCTGAAAAGTGTTTTTTTTTTTTTTTTTTGGTGCCAATCTTGGGGTTTGAACTAAGGGCCTGTGGCTGTCCCTGAGCTTTTTAGCTCAAGTATAGCATTCTACCATTTGAGCCACAGCTCCACTTGTGGGGGGGGGGGTTGGTGGTGGGTGGGTGGGTGTGGGTGTGTGTTTAATTGGAGGTAAGAGTCTTGGGGACTTTCCTGCCTGGGTAGGTTGTAAACCATGATCCTGAGATCTCATCCTCCTGAATAACTAGGGTTATAGGCATGAACCACTGGTGCCAGGCTGAAAAGTAATAGGTAATATTGCCTTGTGAGCATCCCTGAGTGCATATAGACAGACCAAGATGGCTACATCACTAAGCTGCAGTGTATATGCAATCTGGCATTGATGCAACATAGTTAGATTGTTAGGAAATTTATATGTACACAGTTTCTCACCCATACTCAAAAGTTCAACTCTTTTTTACACTAATTTCTTGAGATTTATTACACTTTCCATGAGATTTCTTAATTATTTTTATCTTTTTGTATGATTTTTATTTCAGAGCTATGGTTGAAGTATAGAAATTTGTAGTTATTCATGAGCAGTTATTGTTTCGATGCTGAATATCTTTTGTTTTTTAAATTGCTTCATTCTATTTCATTTTGAATTATGTTGTTTGATCCTTGTAAACAACAGGCAGATTAGTTGTTTTTTATTCTTCTAAACTTGATACAAGAATCATACTTGTGGGGCTGGGAAGGTGGCTCAGTGGTTAAAGCACTTGCCTTGCATGCCTGAGGCCCTGGGTTCGATTCCTCAGCACCACATAAGCAAAAACAAAAAAGCCGGAAGTGGTGCTGTGGCTCAAGTGGTAGAGCTCTAGCCTTCAGCTGAAGAGCTGAGGGACAGTGCCCAGGCCCAGAGTTCAGGCCCCATGACAGGAAAAAAAAAAGAATCACACTTGTTACTATTATTGATATAGTTAAGCCTATTTTGTGATTCTTTTATTTATTTTTCAGTTTTTTAATTGTTATTTTAAGGGTGATATACAGAGGGTTACAGTTATATAAGTAAGGTAAAAAGTACATTTATTTTTTGTTGTTGTAGGTGGGGCTTGAATTCAGGGCCTGGGCACTGTCTCTGAACTCTTTTTGCTCAAAGTTAGCACTCTACCACTTTGAGCCTTAGCTCCACTTCCAGTTTTCTGGTAGTTAAGTGTGGAGGTAAGAATCTCACAGACATGTCCAGGCTGTCTTTGAATCACTATCTTCAGATATCAGCCTCCTGAGAGCTAGTATCAACAGGTGTGAGCCACCAGTGATTGGCTAAAGTGTACATTTCTTTTTGGACAATGTCACCCTTTCCCTCACTCAAAGAAGATATTTAGACAGATGTACAATATACCTTATTTTGTGATTCTTTTTACCTTCATTTCTTTTTTCCTATTTGTTAGACTAGTCTAATTTTCTTAGATCCATTTTCTCCAAGTAATGCTTAAGAAATTTTTGTTATACTTGTTTTTCTCTTGTGATGGTGCTGGGACTTGAATTCAAGACCTTGTGCTCTTGCTTGGTATTTTCACTCAAGGCTAGTGTTCTGATACTTAAGCTCCACTTTTGTCTTTTTACTGGTTAATTAGAAATAAGAGTCTCTAGTATTTGTCTGTCTAGCCTACTTTTAAACTGGGATATTCAGAACTCAGTCTCTTGAGTAGCTAAGATTATAAGTATGAGCCATCTTTGCCCAGCTGTATTTATGCTTCTGCTCTTTTAGTACTTACAGTTTTTAACCTATCAACTCCTTCAGAATTAAAACAAAACAAAACCTTAAGTAATGGAGACTGTCAGTGGTAGAGTGTTTACCTAGTATATCCAAGTCCCTGGGTTTAATCCATAGTACTGCCATAATTAAAGTCAGGCGCTGGTGGCTCATGCCTATAACTCTAGCTACTCAGGAGGCTAAGATCTCAGGATCACAGTTTGAAGCCAGCCCATACAGGTAAGTCCCTGAAACTCTTTTTTTTTTTTTTTTTTTTGCAGTCATGGGGCTTGAACTCTAGGCTTGGGCACTGTCCCTGCACTCTTCAGCTCAAGGCAAATGCTCTACCACTTGAGCCACAGAGCCACTTCTGGTTTTCTAGTGGTTTATTGGAGATAAGAGTCTCATGGACTTTCGTGCCTGGGCTGGCTTTGAACCACAATCCTCAGATCTCAGCCTCCTGAGTAGCTAGGATTATAGGCCTGAGCCACTGGCGTCTGGCTGTAACAGAGTTTTTAATATTGGCTCCTGAAACTCTTATCTCCAATTTACCACCAGAAAAATGGAAGTGTCACTGTGGCTTAAAGTGGTAGAGTGCTAGACTTGAGAAAAAAAGCTCAGAGACAACACCCGGGCCCTACTTACTTCAAGCCCCAGGATTGAAAAAACCAAAAGAAAAAAAAAAGCCCACCTCAGTGGTTACTTGAAGAGATTTGCTATGGAACAGGGAGGCTACTGTTGGTACTCAGTACTTTTGAATTTAGAAATTGTGCAGGTCTACAGTAACTCTTACAAACATGTTATTTTATGGGCCTACATTAAAATTAATGCCACTATCCACTAAAAAGCTATTATTCTCTTAATATTTGATTCAAATAAATATATAGAAAAGCTGGCTTCTGAAATTGCAATTTATTACCTGCTTTACACCCATCATTCACTTTTGTTTTGCATTATTTTTAGCTGGCAGCCGTTCGAGTTCCCCAGGGAAACTTCTGGGCAGTGGTTATGGTGGACTTGCTGGCAGTTCCTCAAGAGGTCCACCTGTGACACCTTCTTCAGAAAAACGAAGCAAAATTCCTAGGAGTCAGGGATGTAGCCGAGAAACAAGTCCAAACCGAATAGGATTAGGTAAGGATTCTCAAAGACCTTGGAATACCCTTTTCAGTTTGGTTATAATGATTACAATCTAAAGATGGTATCTGCTATAGGACTAGAGTTATGTTTTTTTTATCTTAAATGTTACTTTGGCGGTGTTAAAAACACATTTTGATTTGTGCTTTATACAGATTATGGCATATTGAAACATGGTACTTGGGGTTCAAATGAATGGACACAAATGTGTAAAAAATTGTCAGAGTTTGAAGTGGAGGTGTGGCTCAAGTGGTATAGTACCAGACTTGAGGCAGAAAAGCCAAGTGAGAGTGTGAAGCCCTGAGTTCTATCCCTAATACTGACATAAACAAAAATAAATAACCACAAAACATCTACCTTGTTATTATAGGCTTTTATAGAATTAGGAAAATAAGGGGGAAATGATTTTCCCTCAGAGTTAGAACCAACGTCACTTCTTATTTTTCTTTCTCTTATTCACCCACAAGCAATTTGTAGGGTCTTTTAATTCTGATATCCAACTTAACTGGTGAAACTCATAGTCAAAGAATATGTGTAGTTACTTTTAAAATAATGTTTTTGAAACATGAAAGCAAAAAATTGATGATAACCTAGTTAAATTTATAGCTTTTCTTTTTATTGCATCTTTATCTGCTTCCTAAAGATATATTACTGTAAAGTCACAATACCATCTCCTTAATTCCTGTTGGCTTATCTTTCCTATTTATTCACTCATTTATCTTCTCAGCAATTTTTATACCTGAATATTTTCGGTGATGTATGTGAACCTCAGAATTAGAAGACAAATGAAATAGATTCAGCTTCTGACTTCTGAGTCCTCATGAGTGACTTCAGAAAGGTGGAAAAATAAAACTGCATGAAAAAAAGGTGACAGTGTTCACTGATGCCATGAAAAAGGAGGAACCTTAGACCTTTGTTCTCCAGTCCTCCCACAGTTCTTCCTGAGAGGCTTTCTACCATAGGTACTGTGTGAAATATAAGGTGGGATTAGCCAGATAGGGAATCAAGTAAAGGGGAAAAATGTGATGCTGTAGGGGAGAAAGAATCAGGTAGTTTATTTGACTACAGCCATGGCATGGGAATGGTAGATTGCAGTTCCTGAGCTAGTAGGATCTAGCTCAGGAAAACCCTTGAAGGCTTCCTTGAGCTATAAAAAGGCATGAGCAGATATTTAAGAAATTTGTCTTGAACTCATATTTCTTAACAAAGTGAAGTTGTTTGGTTTGGTTGATTCTCTGTGATGTCTGTTGACTTTGTATGACGTTGCATAACATGGTCTCTGAGCTGACAAGTTATTTGTGTATTGATGAAGGTTTAACCAGAGAAGAGATCAAAGCTAGAATATGCAAATTTTTCATGATACTGCATCATATCTGGGTTTGGTGCTTATTGGATTTTAAATCTAGGTTTATGTTTCAACTGTCCTTTCCCATAATTAATTGCTGAAACTTATAAAGGTATATCTTGACAAGCCATCCTAGTATTAGATTTTTCTTATACTCTTCTGCTTATGGCCTTTTCTTTTCCTGTGTATTAAAGATGCCATTTTTACCTCCTTGTAATAAATTCAGTGATCTAAAATCTGCTATTTCTGTTTTGGATAGTTGAATAGGCAGCAGTTTTCTAAGCTTTTTAAAGTGTAATGAGACATGAGTAAAAACAAAAGAGGCAAAGCATGTTCTCTCTTCTGATGAGTTTTTAGTTGAGTTATTCTTTTGATCTAGATTATTTTCTTGAAACATTAAGAAGATTAATCTGTGATCACTTAGTATATACTGAATATATATCTGTATGTGTCCAGTTTTAAATATGAATATTGAAAAAGGGAGTAATACCTTTTAAGTTAAACTTTGTTATTCCTAAACCAATTAATTCATGATAATTTAATGATAACTAAAGTAGAATTAGAATTTACATTGATGATTAATCCTACTTATCTACAGACAGTGCATTTTTTTCTTTGAAATGACATTTGTTAACTAAATTTTCATTTCTTCTATAAAAATTATGCTAAGCCTTTTTATTTGGCATATAAGAGTTCTTAAAACATTATGTGGACTTGGTGACCTGGCTTAAATTGAGGCCCTGAATTCAATCTTGAATATTTCCAAAAGCAAAAAACAACAACAACAAAAAACAGACAAAAAACAATTTTGGGGGCTGGGAAGGTGGCTCAGTGGTAGAGTGCTTGCCTTGCATGCATGAGGCTCTGGGTTCGATTCCTCAGCACCACATAAGCAGAAAAGAAAAAAGCCGGAACTGGTGCTATGGCTCAAGTGATAGAGCGCTAGCCTTGAGCTGAAGAGTTGAGGGATAGTGCCCAGGCCCAGAGTTCAGGCCCCGTGACCGACAAAAAAAAAAAATTGGGTGCTGATATCTTATGCCTGTAATCCTAGCTATATAGGCTGATGGTCTAGAGGATTGGAGGTTCAAAGGCCAGCATACGCAGAAAAGGCCATGAGACACCACCTCTAAAGTAGTAAAAACTGGGCAACAGGTATGGCTTAAGTGGTAGAGCTCCAGCCAAATAAGCTGAGAAAATGCAAGGTTTTAAGTTCAAACCCTATATTGGCAAAAATCAAATAAACAACAACAAAAAAAAAAACCAATGTAATTCTTGTTGGATAATCAAGAAACAAACAAAAAAATCACCACTGCTCTTTTTTGCTCTTGGCAGTTTATTTCCTCATAAGCCACCAGTCAAATGGGATAGTATATATAATTTCAATTTTGTGTGTTTAAACAACAGTAAGACTTTAGAAGTCCCTCACAAAAATACTTTGCATTTTGGCATTTTGACTTTGGTTTCCTCTTCTCAACCATTTGATCTTTTTGCAATTTCAATTTTGTGAGTGGATATTTAAAATATTTTTAAACTTTTTGTTTAAAATATTTTAAAAACATTTTTGGAAGAATTAAAAGTAAGTCATTGTTTCAATTGTGAGATGAACTGTGACATGACACTGTCTGTACTACAGAGGCCTTTTGTGTCTTTAACGTCTAATCATGGGCTGGGAAGGTGGCTCAGTGGTAGAGCGCTTGCCTTGCATGCATGAGGCCCTGGGTTCGATTCCTCAGCACTACATAAGCAAAAAGAAAAAAGTCGGAAGTGGCGCTGTGGCTTAAGTGGTAGAGTGCTAGCCTTGAGCTGAAGAGCTGAGGGACAGTGCCCAGGCCCAGAGTTCAGGCCCCACGAATGGACCCCCCCCCCAAAAAAAATAACATCTAGTCATTTCCATTAATTCTTTTGGTATGAGTTATGGTTGAATCTGTTCTTAAAAAGATGACAGTCAGGACTGTGCTTAAATCATTGTGATAGTAGGTGAGTCTATAAAAGATGAGCACTGGTCTGGTAGTTTTTTTAAGGCTTTCCAGTGTTTCTGATAAGCATGACTCAAGAACAATGCTGCTTTTAGGAAGTTCACCGGTGCTCATTGTCTCTTTCTATTCACACCTTCTCTCATTCCCACATAGGACGTTCACTTGGGGGATTTCATAGGCATAAAATGGTTTGTTTGTAGTTCTCCCACTATCCTATAAAAAAGATTTATTTTGTATACTTACTTTGAAGTCACCGTATAGTCTTGAAAGTAGAGTTATAGTTACTGTTATAGGTTGAATGAGTGTTTTTCCTCTTCTTATTCAAAGTATTTAACACTTAAATGGTTGATGTCACTACTAGGTATTTTTTGCATGAGGTTTGGGAACACTTTGGGCAGATATTTGCAAAATTGTCGACACTAAGTGTTTTTTCCTATATGCAGCTACTCATCATACTTAAGGGAGCTGTGAATGAACTGTCTGGGTGGGATACTAGGAAGGTTTACCTTGTTAAGAAGTTTATGTATATATTATTTCAGATCATGTCTATTTTTCCCTACGAATGCTCTTTATTATCTTTACAAAGGACACTTACCCAGGGAGAATATTTATTTTCCATTTCTGTAGCATATGAACTTAAAGAAGCAGGGAGAGCCTACAAGAAAAATCTTAAGTAATCAAGCATTAACTATTCAGAAATACTTAATTAAGCATGTACTTACATGAAAATGTCAGGAGTTTTTGACAATCTGTTTTGACAGTGTTATTCAGCAAGGAATTCAGAAGTGCTTATGTATATGCCTTATCTGATTTATTGGTGGTATTCTTTCTCATTCCACATTTTTTATGGGGAGGATGGAACTCAGAGAAGCCAAGTGTCTGGACCATGAGCTAACTAGGAACTGGTCAGGTCACTATATGGGTTAGATAAATAGCAATTCTCTGTCCATTCTAGGAAACTTCTCTATATTGGTGGGATCAGTAGACACTTTTCAGTTTTTTAAAGGATTTAATTTGGTGTCTATTACTTTTGTCTTTTTGTAGTAACAGTTTAGCATATTAATCATTATTACTTTTAGTGAAGACTCAGTGAGTCAGTGTTTCCACTTTGGCAAAATGAAAGAAAGTCCAGGAATTACTAGTGAAACCGTTTGAGGCCATTTGCTCAGTTTGCATTCCTTGCCTGATCTTCCCCTTCGGACTGTACTGAGTATTTGGATATCATATGCCCTGAGATTATCAATCTACTTGCTATAACTACAGTATGTAAGACAGGATCCATGAAGGAAATTGGAAAGGACTCCCCCAGGGAAAAACAAACAGGGATTAAAGTTAGGATAAGAAAATATAACACTCCCAACTCGGGATCTGTTTATTTGGATCATTGAATTTATGGGGAACATCTCCACATTGACTCAAACAGGCAGGCTGTCTCCATAGAGAAGACAGTACTGGGAAAACTGAGCTCTGCCCTCTTTTCTCTTGATTAGGTAAGTTTGTGGACCTCTAAGACAAGGACCTTTTTTCCTTTTGCTAGCCCAAATTAACTGATATTTTTAGAAACCACATGCATATGAAAACACCTTTGGTCTTCTGTCCTCTTGGCAAATTTTCTAAAGCTTTAAAAATGGATTGATTTCTAAATGGCTTTCAATCTTGTGTTTTGTATGTCCAGT